AAAACAAAAGGACAACAAACAGAGAGTGTTTGGGTGCAGCCAGATTGGGGCTGCTGTCAGGCACAGGGGGTGGGGGGCCAGGAGGGCCCATGTGCCCCTGAAAACCCACCTTCCACACGTCTTGAAAAGCACAAACGTCGGGAGCCAAACTCAATCCTCATTGGAGGAGCTGAAGGGAGACCCGGACCTGGTGCCTGTTGGGAACAAAAGGACAACAAACAGAGAGTGTTTGGGTGCAGCCAGATTGGGGCTGCTGTCAGGCACAGGGGGTGGGGGGCCAGGAGGGCCCATGTGCCCCTGAAAACCCACCTTCCACACGTCTTGAAAAGCACAAACGTCGGGAGCCAAACTCAATCCTCATTGGAGGAGCTGAAGGGAGACCCGGACCTGGTGCCTGTTGGGTCCCATCTAGCTTCCTAGCCCTGGGCCGACGGGCTGAACTAGGGTGGACTCAGACCTGGGCCAAGTGCCCTTCCCTGCGGGGGGGGGCTTCCTCCTCCTCCTCCTCCTCCTCCACCACCATCCTCCCAGTCCTCTGGCAAGCATGGGGTGGGGAGGGAGGACGAGACTCCAGCCGGTGAGCCCCAACAGAAGGGCACCTGCTTTCCTCTGCAACTCTGACTGACCCCCCCACCCCACCCCAATGAATGTTTATGTTGTAAACCAGCCAGAGTGGCCTCTGGATAGATAGATAGATAGATAGATAGATAGATAGATAGATAGATAGATAGATAGATAGATAGATAGATAGACAGACAGACAGACAGACAGACAGACAGACAGACAGACAGACAGACAGTCTGACTGACTGTCTGACTGACTGACTGACAGATGGATACAGGAGGAAGGGACAGACAGAGATAGATAGACAGACAAACTGACTGACAGATGGATACAGGAGGAAGGGACAGACAGACAGACAGACAGATAGATAGATAGACATAGAGAGAGAGAAAGACAGAGATAGGTTACAGTCCGTTTTGGGGGGTCCAGAAGATGCACGGGGGGGTGTCCCGAAGGGAGGGAAAATGGGAAAGGGATCCGAGGGATCACCCAGAGCTTTTGCAGCCTGCAAGAAGAAAAGCTACCTGCAGTAAAGATGGTTTTCTGGGATTCCACCTCCGTCATCTGGATGTTGTTCATTTTCAGCCCGTGAAGGACGCGGGCGGCCCGGGAGGAAGTGGTGGCCATTTTCATGCAGAAGGAATGCTCGTCTCCTTGGCTGGGAGGGATGGTGGTCACCGGCTTAATGACCCCTGGCGAGCCAGAAAAGGAGAGAGAACAGCGCTCAGTCCCTCCTTGGACGTCCACCTGGGCTTCGGCCTCGACACCAGCAATGGGCAAGGCCTGAAGGCCCTGGGGGGGGGGCTAAAAGCCAGGTCTCCCTAGGCCTCACGAAAAGGGGGGAGGCAGTGGGGAGTGACCCTTCCGGTTCCCTGTGGGTTCCTCAGAGGCACCTGGCCAGCTGGGGGGTTTGGTGGGTCCTGGGTGCGCCTGTGTGTCTTGCGGAACTAGACAGATTCACAGTCTAATCCAGTCGTTTCCCCCCCTGAGATTTGGAAATTAACCTTCGCTGCTCAGCACGGCCACCCCAGGGAAGGCTGCTGGACATGGCGCTGGGATGAAACGAAAGCCACGGGCGCCCAGCTGCTTGTTCACCCACCTGTCTCCTCTGGTTCCATGCGCCACACCTGCAGCGCACCGTCTGGCGGGCCGCTCGTCACCAGCAGGCTGCAGACACAAGCAGAGACGAAGGGGACCTTTGCGTCTGTGGGAAACGTGCTAGCGTTTCCCACACACACAACCTCACAGGCAGCGGGCAAAGCTGTGTTTTGATCTCCCTGCAAACTTCACGTTACGAGAGAATGGCATTCTGAGTCACCCAAACCCGACACTCGAACCCCTTTTCCTTCTTGATCTCTTGGGTCTTTCTGGCTGTTATAACGTGGACTGTGGTTGCCTCTATGTGGGGTTTCTCTGCCAGCTCTGCCTCCTCGCCACCACAATATTCTGCTAAACGGGACACTTTTTTAAAAAAAGACTCGTTCTTCTTCTAAAGACACATAGTTAGCCCAAGAGGACTCACTGGTAGGGAATATGAGAAGGTTTCTTAGCCTTCTGGAAAGAGGAGAAAAGAGTGTGTTGTCCTTTTCACACTACTTAGGAGAGAAAGAGTAAAAATCTGTGTTCCCCCCCCACAAAAAAAAAACACTAGTGAGCTCAGTTCTACAACCCAAATCAATCAATACAGAATAATCCCAGAAGGGCGTCGTGCAAAATAACTGAAACCACTCTGATGCTTGCTGAGAAAACCAGGGTGGCTCCAGTCCATGTCACAGCAAACCATGGTTTGTTCCCACATCTAAACTTGCATCTACATCCAAACCGTGGCTTGTGAGGGCTACCTGACCGGAATACTGCATGGCGCTTCGAGGCCATTTCGAAGGATGAATTTGCGCTCCTTCCAGTCCGCCAGAACATCTACGTTCTCAAACCACAGCTGTGGATTTGGCTGCCCTATCGAGGCTCGGCTGGCGTTATAAAGCCAAGGCTTGACAGAGGCAAAGGGAAACAAAGCACAATTCCCCTGCCGTACGTTTTGGAGCCCACCCAAACAACGTTCGGGGAGGAAGCAGCCTGAGGAGAGAACCGGACTCTTCTTCAAATATTTCCTCCATTCAGCTTAATTTCCAACCCCCCTCCCCAATTCCTTCTATTTCAGACGCTCCCTTCTCAGCCTCGCGCGTTACCCGCTGAAGACATTCTCTTACCTCGTCTGAGGCACATGCTTCAGGCCGTAGACAGGGCGGTCAGAAAAGCCACCCAGTTCCACCTTGAAGTCTCTTTCCGGACACAGGCCCTGCAAAAGATCAAGCACCCCGTGGAAAGCGAGGGACGGAAAAAGGGCTCCCCACCCGAGGGGCCTCCCCAACTGGAGAAGGAGCCCCTGAACGGCATCAGTGCCGACCCTCGTTTTCTACAGGTCAGAATCAGCAGGAAGGCAGGAGGTCGTGGTCCCGGCAAGGCACAGAAACGAGGTTTTTTTGGGGGGGGGTCTGTCTGGTGAGGGTCACTCCTACCTGGTTCCCTTTGGAGCAGAGCCTCTGAGGCAGGAGCAGCTGGAGGATCTCGTTCCTTCTCGGGTTTTCATATCCGGCGACGCAGACACCTAAAAGGTAGGATTCCATGAGCAGCCTCGTCATTCCGGACCTTCGACAAAAGCGATCCGAGCAGAATCCTGCACGGATGCCAGAGTTCTTCGGCCGCTCAGAGACCCCCCAGACCCACTCCCACCCCGCCACAATTGGAACCCCTGAGCAGCCTTC